TTCAATGGCTTACCTATGGTTTCGATGAGAATCACAGCCAATGAGTGACCATTCGATTCACACAAACGTTAATCCAATGTGTGATGAGATGTGTAGTCAACTGATTGTGTCAAACGATGGCAAACACACGACACGCGATACACACCAACTGAACGGACGGCCATATTATCACTCAATGACTGAACCATTCCATCCACACAGCGATACACAACACTACAGCACACACTCCACAACACAGACACCACCTCTTTCGGGCATTTGCTATATTACACTTACTAGAAGTTATAACACTATTCTAACAATTCTCGTATTATTTATGTTCAATTCATATACTGTACAAATGCCATATTCCATGGAATTATTCTAAATTATCATATCCTAAATCTGCTTAATATGGGTTTAAGTGATTTGTAAGACTAACTTGTAAGTGAGTTAATTGTATGTTTAATAATCTAATTAACTTTTTGAACATTATTTCCTATTAGATCAATACAATTATTGTTATTTAGAAATTTTTAAACGATAATTTAATAAATATTTTAAGATAAAATTTAGGCCTTGAAATGAATTCTTTAAATCATCTAAATTCGTATTTTTCAATTATAACTATGGATGTCTCAATTATAATAAATTACATTAAATCATAAAACACAAAATTTTAATTATTTTCAAAACAAAATGTTAAGCATTTGAACTTATGTTAAATTTATGGTAATGTTAAGTATATGTGTACCTTATTGAGGTATTTCAAAATACTCCCAATTTTATTTATTAGAATTTTGGTCAACTTTCTTTGTATGGAATATTCTCAATAGAATTAGTTTTAAAATAATTTTATTAATAAATGATTAGAATTTGTAAATATTTGCAAAAATTCTTTATCTAACTATTTTTTATAGGTTTATTAAGAATATTTTTCTAAACAGTGGAATAAATTATTAACTAGATTCAAATGAAATATAGAGGCCGGATGAGTGATTGTGTCCGAAAGTAACATTCTCTGTGTTGTGTAAAATCCCCTAAGTTTTGGTGCAAAATCAGTGGCTTTGAGAGAAAAGCCCTGAACTATATATACAGTATTGACAAAAGCATAGTTTACTTACAGTTTTTGTTGTATAGTATATGACCTGAAACTCGTATTAATTGTTACATACATTTGGGCAAAGAGTAAGGTATGGCAGGTATAGCCGTATAGGCATAGCATTGGGTATTGAAGTTTTAAGAGTAGGTCTGGTCTGATGTGCTCTACTAATGCACTGTATTTTACAATACATTACGATATATGCGATACAAGAGTATAGAAGGCATTGGAAAGAAGGTCTGCTCCGGTCTGACACCAAAACTTTACTAATATGTATAAAAAGCGCACAAAAATCTAAGACAACAAAAACCAACACTTGGTTTGCAAATGAAATGTAATGTTTTTTATTGAGGCAAAAGCAACGGCGGACTGACTCTACATAAGCAAATCAGTCGACCTCTTCTACAACTATATATATAATGACAATTTATTGGGCGTTTATATGAAGCCCCCGATTAACATAAAAGTAAATTACATTAATGTTTTGGTTATTTGATATGGCGTTAAGTACTCATTAATATGGAATTAATCGATCAAATGTATTGATTAATAAGAAAAATGTAAAAATAACTTAACATGAGATCAAAAAGGGGACCGAAATGTTCATCACAAAAATGTATCCACAAATATACAGAATATGATCAATTTCACTATAGAATGCATTCTATAATGGATTCTATATGCAAAATTGACCATATTCCCATTCTCTCCCTGTTCACCAATCGTCAATACCTTTTTTAAAAGTAATGTAAAACTTTTTTATAAATATCCGAATTTATACCAAAAATCAGAGCCATTTTTTGCACACATATTAAAACTCTGGATCCGATAGTGAGGACTAATTTACGGGTTATTTATCCGGAAATTATCGAAAAGTTTTTGCATTTTATGCATAAAAACTAACTTTAAAAACAAATTTCTCTAATTTAAAAAAATGAATACAATTTTTTTGGTTGTTTGGAGGGTTAACAATATATATGACAATTACATATATAACTAATTTGTAATATGTTAGGGGTGGGGGATATCGTTTTAAAATTAAGCCTATTCAAATACAGTAACAGAGACCCCGATCGTGTCAAGTAAACCGTTCACAACTGATTAGTTGATACCACCGATCAGTTAACAGAATCCAGTAATCATACAAAAGTCCGCCACTAAATCGTACGTAATTCACAAAATGAAACAAAACAAACAAAAAATAGCGGATTAATTGTGTTGTATTAAAAAATCAATGACTAATATGTATTTTTAAACACTTTTTAAAACTCAATTCAATTGTCCATTAAAATGAGTTATCGTTTGATTGACAGAAGTATATCGCAGTATTGGATACAGTATTGTGTTATCCAATCAGTCGATAAGGTATTACAATATTTGAAAAAATTATATACAATTAGTTTACAAGTTTTAGAGTAAAAACACTATTAGATCGAGGGATTAGATTTCTATTAATAATTACAGAATTAAAAACTTTTGATAAAATTTACAATTTGTTTGTTTTGTTTGCTTTGACACACGAATACACAATGAAATACATTGAAATGTGATATACTTTGTATGAAAATGAGTTGACAGTAACGACTAATTGACAGCATCTCGACATTCACAGAATCGGTATAATTTTTATTACGTTATGCCTATTGTTATGTGCTTTTTGGTTGTTTCAAACAGACGAGGGGTCTATTGTATTAAGTTGACAAAAATGGACTAGTTGACAGAATCGGCACTTAACACGATCGAATCTTTGCCTGTAAGTGTAAATATTGCAGTTTAACCATGGTTGAACCATTCATTTAACCAAGGGTCATTTCAAATTTCATGGGTAGGGGCTGGTCCTGTTTGAAGAGCTGGCGCTGGAGTTCGAGTGCCGGCGAAGACGAGGAGACCGTACAACTGGACGACGAGTTGGAAGTGCGCGGAGAGTCCGACAACTTGTTAAACACTCGTAAATCGACGCCATTGCCGGCGTCTCTGATCTGATCCGTGAGCTCTTTGACAACTCTGAGTCCTTCATCCATAAGCGTCTCCTGAACTAACTGTTTGGTTATATGATTGGCGGCCACAGAATTTCCCGTCTTCTTGGCTAACAGTATTAAAAATACTTCAAATGTTTAATTATAATTGGAATAGAGTTGTGAATTACAATGTGTTTCTCGGAGACAATATGTATGAAATGGTTGACTAACTTGGAAGCAGTTTCGAGAAGCCATCCGAAGAGCTGTTCTGCGAGTCTTGATTTGGAGAGTTTTGGTGCGAGTCGTCGATCAGAGATGGAGACGACGAGTTCGAGTACAACGAGTATTGCGAGTCTATTGGATAGCAAATGCATTCCACACCGAGTTATAACAATTATAATGTACTGTATTTACTAATTATATGGGGTATACTATATGACAGACCTGTATCGTCGGTATCTATTTTGTCGCAATCAAAACGTCCAAAATTTCTGCTCATCAAAATCCTATAAATATAAATCATTTATAATTCTATAAATATTTGAGTGTAAAATTTAAGATATTCTTAAAACTTATTATAACAGTAAATTTTAAAATAATTTTAAGTTTTAATATAATTGAAATATAAGAATATAAACTAGTAAATATAGAATATTGGTTTTAGTTAGTGTTTATGGAAAACAATATGTGTTATTAACAATTAGTAAATTACCTTGAAGCCTAAAAAACAAATTTGAATTTCTAATATTGGGAATATTTGTTCAATAGATTGATATAGATTTTATTTTTCTTAAATTAATTGTTAAATCACATGTTTTTATGGACAAAATGAATGTGTATTGTAAGCACTTTAACACTAGATTTTGCAGAAGTAGACAATTTGAACAATTATTATGATTACTGTTTAATACGCTATAAGTACTGTATTATTAAGAAGTAATTAAGAAAAGAATGAATGTTAATTAATTGATATATTTAAAAGAAATTTATTGTTTGAAAAAAGTATAATTGACATTTATGCACTTTTATCGTGAATTTACTCGTGAACCTAACATAAAATTAAATCAAAACC